AGGATGGGGTCCCACAATGACAATTCCTCCAGAACTATGATAACACCACTAAGCTGAGGAACAACACTTAAAGATCAACTTTGAACTACAAACTGCTCAGGACAATTCTGAGGTAGCTAGCTGAGATGACGCAGCTGAATGCTCTAGCCAGGACTTGAGATAAGCCCTGAGCTTTCCTATCACACAGAGACTGGACAACAAATGATACAGCTACCTCTCCCAGGACTTGACAGTTAACACAATCTTTTTTTCCAGGATCCACTAAAGATGCCATCACCCCCAGAGAGCAGGAAGTAAATTTAAGAATATGATACCCACATTCCCAAGAGGTGGGGTGGATGGTTTTGGGTCATTCAATGAGTCGTGGATATTTGTCATTGTTCTGGGCGGTTGGTTACAAGTTGTTATTTATTATGATCAGGAAGAAAGATGAACAAAGGAGATCAGACTTAGAGTTCTTGTTTTGAAAAAAAAAGGGGGATATAGATATGATAGGCTAGAAGGGTAGATTATTAAATCTACTCTGAAAAGAAATAAGGGGGATATAGAAATAAGATTATCAGGTAGATTACTGAATCTTTTTAAACCAAAAAGGTAACTATTAGTTTTAAATATTTTACTTTGGATTGGATTTTTTTGTATACTGATACAAATTTAAGGTTATTTTTGTTAGAACATACTGTACATACATTTCTAATCTTGTTCAAGGTACTGTACATATGCAACTCATTTAACAATTTAATGCAAATTTCTAGCCCTTGAAAGTTATTATTATCAAATATTTAGGATAATAAGGAAATAAAGGTTACCAATTAGTCACCTATTACAATCAAACTTACAGTCATATTAGGTATGTTTTCAAGGTCTAACAGAGATATATTTTAGATAGATAGGTCATCTTCAAACACTTCAGAGATCTACAGAATATAACATTTAAGATGTTTTTTATAGCATAGGTTCTTTTCTTGTTTTTTTTTTTTTTTTAATGGCAATGAGACATGTCTGCTACTGGCAGCACCAATCTACTTCAGAGAAGATGATGGGCATTGAGTAAACTCCACATGGAGTTTACTTTCTTTGTGGAAAAGGTTAGTCACTGGATAAGAAAGTGCTCTTGCCTTGATTGCTGACAGTATGCTGTACAAATTGATCAAGCAGGACACAAAAGAAAGGTCTGTGGAACTTTGCCAAGACAAGGTAGGACAGCCCTTCAGAATATCCTGCTTCACAGAAAGTCTGTCAGATATGCTAGGTCTATAGGCCAAAGATGGATGCCCCAGTGCTGCAGAGGGACCTTGGGTGACTGTTCAGGCAGCTAGCTATTTCTGTCATTTCCCACATTTTCTGAAAGTTGCTTGCTTGTACTTCCTGCTTACTCAGGTAATATTTTCTTCTTGGTTCTCTGATGAAGTTTTCCTTGTTACCAGATTCACAAAAGAAATCCACTAAAGAAATGTAAAGTGTATAATGTCAAGAGGCATAAAAAGATAGTTTTGGTAATGCAAGTTAGAATAGAAAGTGAATTAGGCACAACCTTTTGGATTCACCAAGATAGGATAAATATGGAATATTTTTTTCTGAATTTGTCAATTGTTAATGAACTAGACACTGTTGATGTATTCACTGCCTGTATATATAGTTGTGATATATATATAGTTATGATACTTATTTTGTTTTTCTTATATTAGTTATAACTTTTGAACTTTTACAAAAAGGAGAAATATGGTGATATATTGTTTGTACAATAAAGCTTTCCTGAAGATCAGAGGGTGGAGCTAGCCACTAGATAAGCACAGAGGTCTGGAGTTCTGTACAGACAGACAGGAAGTGATATGGCTGGGCAGAGGGAGGAAGTGATAACATGGGAGGAGACAGGAGCTCACTCTCTTTTTTTGGCTGGAAAGTTGAGTAGTTAGGGTAGCTGTGGTTTTGTTCCTTTGTCTCTCTGATTTCTCAGTATTTTCCCATCTATCTTACTTCAGGCTTTTATTATTAAGACCTATTCGAAATTATCTACATTTAGTACCTCTTCTTGCTATTTATACGTGCACATACTTACCCCTTCTTACTGCGAACTACATGTGCTTATATTTATCCCTTCTTTATGAAAAGGATGTGGTAACAGCAGATGCCTGTATCTGAGGAGCCAACATATGAACTAGTCAGAGGAACAGGCTAACAGGGTACTGCTTCACTGTTCAGTTGGGTGGTCAGTTTTCATGAGTCAGCTCCTGAGAAGACTGCTTTTTTTCCATGTTTATATACAGCAACTTCCCTTCATAGAGGGGGCTTCTTTCTTTGTCTGTGTATGATGTGTGTGTATTCATACGTGTGAGTACAAGCATCTCATTTTGTTTGAGAAAGATTCTCTTTGTTGTGGGCTGAAACACACACCAGGCTTGCTAGCTCTCTGAGCTTCTGGAGAGGTCCCTGTTCCCACCTTCTCTTTGCTGTAGAAGCAACAGTTTTGCAGTCACGCATCACTGTGCCTGGCTTTCCATGGGCTCTAGGGATTAGAACTTGGGTACTAAGTTCTGCTTGCACAGAAAGCGTTTACCCGCTGAGCTACCTCCCTTCGTCTTGTAGTGTCTCCCTTCCCCATGACCAAAAGCCTAGCATGGACAAGTCAGATCCTCTGCATGAATAAGGCATGGGTATTTGCACTCATGCACAACAGAAAGAAGAATGAACAGGTACAAAAGACCAGAGGAGAAGCTTCTAAGAGTAGCAGTTTTGAAAATTTCATATTATGACATTTGCTTAAAACTATGAATAGTTCATTATCCAATAGCTTTCAGTTCTACTACAAACAAATAAAGGCTTATCTAATTTCAAAACATCTACATGCGGCCCTTGTTATCTATTTGAATTTCCATGGCAAATTACATGTAAATAGGAAGAGGGAGGGGACAAACAGCCTCAAATATTCCAGTGCCGAATTACAAAAAGACAAACCTTCTACTTACTAACAAGAGACTAATCAGACAAAGCACCACAGTGATTTACAACTAGCTGACTTTTCTCATAATCTGAGAACCAGGTTGGTTTTCCTACTTATATCCCCATTTTGTGCTAGGGTCATAGGTTATGTCTTACTGATGTAGCTAAAAGAACCCTTTACCCATCTGAGCTGCTTCTCTCCAGCATTGGGTACCTGGATTACCTGGATTAAGTTAAGAGCAGAGAGCCCTTGCTAGCTATTCAGCTGACGGGGATACCCATGCTCAGAAATTGAGAAGAGAAGGCTAGGCAATGGGTGTTTTAGTCTAACTAGTGATGCTTTCCACTCTGAGGACTAGAGGTAACCTGAGTCTTGTCTTTAGAACCTAATTTGAAAGAATAAAGGATAAATATCAACACCGATCATGTCAACAGGGCAATCTAGTTCATCATTCTCCGAGCCCTGCAGTTAAATACCTACACCCGCTGGAACCCAGCTCCAACTCTGCAAATGAGGTAGCACAGCTGTAAATATTCTATATGAGTAAAGCCTGCTTTTTCCAAAGACAGGCATGGCTTAACAGGCCATGTTCTTTCTGTAGAACTTTCAGGAGCAATTATGTCCTAAGGACACATGGATGGCAAAGCATAGGTATGTGGCTGCAACAAGCATCCCATTAAGACTGGTGGCAAGGTGTGTGGGTTCACTGACTGTGTGGCTGGAGTCTGGACTGCTAACACGGAGTGAGCTGCCGAGAGACTCCCAGGGGAAGGCAACCTAAACTGGTTAGCTTCCCAGCTCAGGGCTACAAGAATGAACTGGATCTTCTCCCACCACATTGAACAGAGGCTACCCAGGACCACACGACTTTGCTACAGAATGCAATGATGGATACACGTCTAAGGATCTAGGGTGCCAGGGATTTTTTTCCAGGAGCAGTGTGTGCTTCAGTAATACAGCCTGAGAATGAGGCCACTGGACCGCCCCTGTCTCTTTAACAAGGTAGTAATTGTTAACAGTGGAAGAGCATCACTCTTCTCCTGGGATCTGGCCAGCTCTGCAAGAGACAGTATCACTTTTCAGATGTTATCTTTCCCAGTAGCTTATTTCTTAATCCACTTCAGAAAAAGAGTTCCTTGGCTTTCTTTCAAGCAGACCAACCCACTTTGGGCGGGTTCTTAGAAGTACCCTCCCATCTTCCCCAACCGAAAACCAGGCTGTCTCCTCTCCAACTGCCAGCCAGGTGGCTCAGCATTGTTTCTCAACACAGAAAGAGTAACTGCAACGAGAGAGGCCTCAGGACAGGGATGCACAGGGTTTCATTGGCTGGCTGCCAGGCCAGTCGGCCACATACAGGCTGCATCCTTTTGTGTGGCTGCAGCCAGATCAGGCTAGCAAAACACACCGCTAAAGTACCACTGTGTGATGAGGCCTATCACAGAATGCTAAGGCAGCAGTTTGGAGCTGGGTCATGTGAGCCGAATTAATAACTTTCGTTGTTTTCCTGGTGCTGCACATTAATGAAATCCTTACTGGTGTTTGTTCTAAGTATGTGCATGGTGAACATGGAATGAGAAGTCAGTGTAGCCTCGGGAGGAAGAGGGAAAGGCTCGGGAGGAGGAAGCAGATCACGCTTCCAGTTCCTAGAGAGTCTACATTACAATCACGAGCCAGAAAACGAAGCCCTGCTGGTCAGGAGGTGGATGGAGCGAGGGAAATCATGGTGCCCTGGGCAAAGAGAAGGCCTGTCAAGGACACAGGCTAGTTTCTCTCTTGTGGATCATTTCCAGTGGCTTCGGAACTCGTGAGGTGTCCGTTAGATGCTTAGGATCTGGTTCAGGAATGACTGGGCAGGGAGAACACTTTGGATTGGTGTGGGAGGGTTTGATAAAGAGAGTTGTTGGGGATAGGTACCTGAGACTGGTTGGTTTGCAAAGAAAAGTCTTTGTTCGGGGGCAACTTGGTGATCTATTCAGGACTGAATAGCCCTGATGGAGGCCAACACTTGTAGGGACCTCAAATATCAGAACACTGAGCGCACAGAAAATAACACAGGAAATACAGTTAACACAATATATATGTATTTTATATTATTATATTGGTAAAATAGATAAGAGCTAAGACAAGTCAGCAACGTCTCTGTCTGAATATAACACTTGCCTAGACCGAGGGGTCTTAGTTGGGCTTTCATTCCCACTACCCTCAGCACAGTTACCTTGATGAGGACACCAGGAATTTCCTCAGCATCGTATAACATGTTTTGCAAACGTACTCAGTGTTCTTCGGTCTAGCACATCTGTCCCTCTAACTTACATAGGGAAGGCTTCTGGGACTGTCAGAGCTGCGGATGCTGCTCGTCACTACTGTGGTTGCAGAGACTTCTGCGCACCACCAATTCAGATTGCTGCTGGAATGGGCGGTGGTCTCTGAGATTCTTCTGCATCCTCACCACGTAGGCTACTTCTCTGTTCGAGGGAGGCAGCACACGGCAGATGGGCGATATGAACCGGATTAACAGTTTCTGCAGACACAGCCATACTGTAGCCATACTGCTCACTGATTTCTGAGACCGTGACTGACTCTGAGTCCATGTCCGTGCATCCTGGGCATGCTGTCTCCAGAAGATGGTGAGTTCAAGTTCAGCAGAACGGTTTTTGTCCAGAATTCTAGGTACGGAGATGAACTTTTTCAAGGCTGCACTGCCGACACATCTACATGGCTGAGCACTGATCAGGGAGAACCAGAAGAGAGGCGCAAGGAAAATGATACACCGCGGCGGTCCAAGGCTCACAGTCCTGGAAGCAGAGATGCCAGTACTCCTTGGCAGGCTATCAGTTTGGTTTGGAGCTGGCTGTCACATTCACCCTTCCAGATGCCAGTATATGAAGGACATCTTGACCTTTTCGTTCAGCTTTCTATACTTTTTACAAGTTCTTCATCAAGGGAAAGGCTGTTTAGTGTCAGGGTTAAAGTACCATTGGCTTAGTGGCACGAGAATTCTGGGTGTTTTCAGTTTCTCCGGTACATTTTGGTAGATGACCAAGTCGTGGATTTGGTGTTCCTGTCTCTCTCCTCATTCCTTTCTGGAGAGAGTTTAAATGGGTTGAGAAAGATATTTGAAGCTTTCTGATCCAATGTAAATGAACCCTGTGGTGGGTAAACAACTTTCCTTTCTCCTTTGCTCTCCTGGGGTATTTTAATGAACAATGCTTCTCAAAGAAGTTTATAAATACTCCCCCAGAGGAAAGAAGAATATTAAGCTCATAGGAGGTGTGCCATTAATGCTGAGTATGTGGGACTGAGCGAAGAAGAAAGGAATAATTGCAGTCTTGAGGTTTCAGAGTTTTCTGGTGAGTTGTGAACGCTAAGGCTGGAACACAACACTGAGGAACATTAGGGAAGTGAGGACACAGCTTCACAAGACCAAGTCTGGCAACTCCTTAATTGCACAGGCTACCACAGGTGGTGTAGGATGGGGTAGAGCTTGTTTTGATGCCAATTAACGGGTGTGTGCTCATTTAAAACTTGTAACAACCACAATTATCAACGTCACCAAAGCCTTTACAAAATATTTTTGTTCCCTTTCCACCTCATTATCTCAAAGTCCACAAACTACCTACCTCGAGCCTAAAAGCCTCTCCTGATAATGAATATCTCTTCTCTGTGAGACGACTGCAACTGAGTCTCTGCAGCATCACCTTTCCATACCCCCATTCTACTTTACCTGTGAGCCTTGGTTATGGCTTTAATGTTTCTATTTGTCTCAAAGACCCTGCATTTTTAAACAAAAGCTTCTAATAACAGCAGAGAAGGTTCTTACTGCCACAGCGCCACCTTCTGGGGGGCAAGCACAGCATAGAAACCAGCGGTGCACAGCTTAACTTTGACCCAGGTTTGAAGTAGTCCTTACAAGTTGTTTTTATAAAATCCCAATTGACTGCCTTTTCTATTGCTGTTGTTGGTACTGGGGATCTGACCCAGAGCTTTGTACATGTTATAGCAGTGAGTTACGTCCCCAGACCCTGTATGCTAAGCATATGTTATTGCAGTGAGTTATGTCCCCAGACCCTGCATGCTAAGCATGTTATTGCAGTGAGTTACATCTCCCAACCCTGCACTGCATTGTTCTTCTTCATAGTTACTCATTCCTCTGCTGTGGTATGAAGTCACAAAATGATGATAACAAAAATACGCTCTTATTCTTACTATTACCTTAAATTGTCCCTGACTTCATCGACTTTGATTTTCTCTGTCCTATAACTGTGGCAAGGGCTCCAGACTGTGTGGGTAAGGGTTTGGATCTGGCGAAAATAACTTGGGGAGCTTCCAAAGATCCTGGAAAAATGAAGAAAAAAAAATCCCCACTTAACACTGTATTTGATCTTGGCCCAAAGGACAAGAGGTAAAATCCCAAGCTTAGAGAATCATTGTTCTCAGATGTTGCCACCCCACCTCCGGCCAAACACCAACTCTATGTCTCTCTTCTGTTCCCCAACAGCACAGGGGTGAGCATCACCTCAAAATCTTACCCTCCACCCCTCCACAGAAGAACGCTTGCAGGGGGAGGGGGCCAATAATGGGAAATGAAAGGAAAAGAAGAGGGCATCAGACACTAGGGCCATTACCCCAGGAGCATTGCTCGTTTTATTCCTAACTTCTTATGTGCAGACCCACGGAGGAGCCCAGCAGTCACATAATGTATGATGAATAGTTATATCACTGCAGCCGCCAGGCAAGGAAGCCACCTGGATGTGAAAGTGACGTCTAGGTCCTGAGGGCGTAAGCCCCTCTAGATTTTCTTTCCACTAAAGTAAGTTCATTTCTCTTGCCTCAAGACACCAGGGGAGTGGGCGAGCACAGCCACACCGCGGTGCTTCCGAGCTGTTCCTATGAAAAGACCACGGAGCTACTGCACATTCCACCAGGCTGCAGATAATAAGCATCTGATGGGACATTGCTTCTTTCTTCCTGTAAATGGCATCCAACACTGATCTTCAAGACAGCAAGGTCCTATCTACAACTACAGACCAACGGGAGCTTAAGAACGAGGATGTGGGGAGAGATGGCTGGACTCCAGCTGGGATGCTTTACAGGAGGGAGGGAGCAGGCTGGCCGCGGCAGAGGGTGTGGCCGCGGATCCCCACAGTAGCCCTAGCACCTCAGTTGTCTAACTTGCTTCCTTTGCTGTTTTAGTTCACCCAGAGCTCAGGAAGGGGCAGCGTGGTTACAAAGGAGAGCCAGGGAGTTGGCTTCAGGCCAAGGGCCCTCACTCCGGCTTCCTTCTCAAGTTTCCAAATCTGCTGACTCTCCTTCCTTTCATTGCAAACAGAATGTAAGGTCCCAGGTAGGGCAGTTAGGAAAGATAACATTCAGGCAGCATTCCTTCCAGCCCTCTGCTAGGAGAGTTCTATTTTACCGAATGTGCGGGATGGAAAGACAAAAGCCTGCCATCAGTAGGAAAGGACTCAGCTGTTTCACAACTCAGAGCTACCTGCAAAGCCACACATCTTAAAGTGGAGTCAGCCAGATGAAAGAGAAGGGTTAAAGGCCAGGAAACAGACAGGAGCTATATTTATGGACCTGTTACTGAAAAAGACAGGGGCTCGAGGTATTTGGAAGACAGCTGAGGAGAGGAATATGACATTGCTGCCTTCTCTTTTCCTGTCTCCTTCCTTCTCCCCCACCACCTCCTTCTTCTGGGTTTAAAGAAAACTGCTGCAGGTGGCAGCCCTGACTGTCGCACAGAACACCCTTCCAGAACTCCAGAATAGCTCTTACACCTCACTGCCATAGAAATCACAAGCTGCACTGCTGAGACACGGCCATGCAGGGCAGTTACTCACTAGCAGCTGCCAATGCCAGGTGTGCTGGAATTCACCAAGTGTTCCCGCATTGCAGCACTCCCTTAGCATCAGGAAAGTCACAGACAGTAAGGCCAACAGCATACAGAGCCCTCTAGTCACAGGGTGACAAAGCACTAAATACCTGGCGAGGGAACACGGCAGGAATAACTGGCTGGCTGGTACCTTAAGGTGAACGCAGAGGAATATAACTGCTTGATCTGTCATTTATGCCGACACAAATACAGCAGGACTTTGACAAGATCTTCTAACTGATGTCATCAAGGGCTACCAAGCTGCTGCAGTCATGATCCAGCAGATCCCTCACAGTTCTAACTCCCTCAGCCAGAGAGCACACCGAGTTCAACTCCATATGGCCCAGTTAGGAATCTGCAGGCAGGGCTCTGGGTCTGCAAACCTCTCCAGCTTAAGGCATGTGGGGAGAGAGGGGACTCAGCACTGTGACCCAGAACAACTTCAAACCTGACCATGATTCTCACTTTGCTCCTCACAATTCCAGGTGCAAATTTACTTCCTTAAGCCTCTCTGCCCGAGTCTAAGCACTGGGGGTGTCCTCGGTGGCAGAGCGCCTAGCACACATGAGCTGCAGTGCAATGCCTAGTGTGACACAGCAAACACCACTGTGCTCTAGTATTCAGGAGGGGGCTACAAACACAGGGCCATCAAGTATCTCCTGATTCGGGTTCTGATGCTGTGAAGGAGAATGAATTGCTATGCTTTTATGAGAATGATAACATGGCCCCATAACCTGGATGTAGGAAGTCCTTTTGTGCATATGCCCTCATTTAAGCCTCAAAATAAAGCAGTGAGATATACGGAACTGTCCTCATGACACGGTCAGGCTTCCCAGTGATCTGCTATCACCTTCAGGGGCACTGCCATCTCTCAGCACACTCTCTGAACTGGTCCTGAACTCCCCAGGGCTTCCTGACAGGCTTCCTGTCAGGATGGCGACAAGCTCCTTCCACAGCTTCTGACTGGCTCAGGATGACGACAAGCTCCCTCCACGGCTTCTGACGGGCTCAGAAAGGCGACAAGCTCCCTCCACGGCTTCTGAGTGGCTCAGGAAGGCGACAAGCTCCCTCCACGGCTTCTGAGTGGCTCAGGAAGGCGACGAGCTCCCTCCACGGCTTCTGACTGGCCCTGATATTTCACCACTTTCCTCTTGCCATATTTTGCACATAACCATTTCCCCAGCCACACTAACAAATGGGGTCTGCAGACAAAATACATACATGTGCACGGCACAGGGCCTTTGCATTCATTGTATGTACTCCATGACGCTTTAGATATACTTCCCAATCTGCCGATTCCTGTACACGTAAATAAGACAGGGGCTCTCAGATCTGATATCTGTACATTTGACCATGGAGTTGCTCGAAAGTGCTCAACACACAGCATGACAGATGGTAAAGGCCTAGTCAATGCTGTCTGTTGTCATTCCCCATGTCCCCGGTACCGGAATCAGTCACAGAATCTCCTGTAGCCACTTCCCACGCCTTTTCCATCTCCTTGAGTCTTGCAGAGCCCCAAATAGAGTGGAGACCATTTTGCTTGCCCTGTGCTGTGTGGACTCAGGAGCCAAACGATCTGCTCTGTAGCCTGTGTTCAGTGGTCAATGTTTGTTGACTTGAGTCAAAGTGACTTTCTTTTAGTTTTCTGATTAGTATGGGCTTATGAATCATTATACAAAACAAACCTCTGGCTCACTGCTACCTCATTGCATATATGCACTTACAGTGAGAGGCTATGGGCCCTGCCGACAGATTGCTAGCATCAACACAAAACTTACATTAAAGTTCAGACATCTAACTCGATGCATGGATAACTAATATGCTGAGTCTTAGTTTCCTCCTGGGAGGGGAGGTAGCAGGTGGAGCTCATGAATCTGTCATGAGGGTTGAGAGATCCAACATTCAGAAACACTATGTGAAGAGTGAAGGAGTGTGTGTTCACCATCAAAACTCAGAGTTTTCTGCTAGACAAGGATGCTGCATTTACCCCCATCGGTTCCAAAAAAGGAAAAGAAAGAAAAATCCAACTACCCCAGGCTGTCTTATTATTCTAAAGAAAAATATCAAAATACCTATCTGCCAATGCTTTCAAAAGACATTTGTTCTTTTGAGCTGATGTTCCTGACAGAGGCAAAGGAGAGGACTGCCAGGTGCCCCCTTCCTTGCTGCACCCAGAGAAAGGCCACTGACCTGTGGAGCTGGCGATGGGCAGAAAGGCCGCAGGGTTAAGGTTGCTCTGAAGTCCATTCAGCTGCCCTTCCATGGAGGAGCCTCTGAAACACAAAGGAGCCCAGTGAGACCTGCAGGCAGGAAGGCCCTCACGGAGAGGCAAGGTCAAGACAGACGCTTCGATGGCCTTCTCTTTGGTCTTGGAGTTTCTTCTCATGGTACACATGCCCCTGCTTCTTTGAAGCCTTTGTTAAAATGTCATGTTCCCACAGATGACTTCTTTCACCAAGAGATACAGCTATCTCCAAAAATATTATGTATTTCAAAAGTGACCTTTGGTTATTCCCAACTGCATGGTTCTTTTCTCACTGTGGTGTCTCACTATTCAACAAGTAGTTATTTAGTGAATGAATACTTGGTTGGTGGTTCTGACTTAGATAAATAACATCTTTGAAAGACTGCATTTCATGTAGAGCAGTGGCTCTTGGGGAAGGGAGGAGGGACAGATTTGATCACCATCCTCCTTCTCTGGCCTTGGACATCGAACAAGACTGAGACAATTGTAGCTCTTATACAGTGGGTTACCTAGCAAGTAAAGGCCAGGAACACTATCGAACACTCAATCCACAGCACACAGACAGGATTCCCAAGAATTAGTGCAAAATGTCCTATATTAGGCTGAGGCTCCTCAGGAGGAAACTATACGGCACGTCCCATCAGGCCAGCTGTGGGGAGGCGGAGCATGACGGGTCTTGGTGCACAGGTTTCCGGCATGTCTCATAAAGTCTACTCTGGCACGTCGGCTACAGACCATGCCAGATCTCCCTGTTAAAGGTTCTTACAGCTCTCTGTAACTTTTCGTTGTATTTATCAAAATTATAAGTTTCAAAGTTATAATTACCAATTTATGTAGATGGATCCTATGTGTCATCTTGCCTGGAGCACAAGCTCGATGAAGACAGAGACTATCAACAGTCTTGCTCACGTGAGGCATTTTGCTATAGCAGATATTTAATACATAGTTTTGGAAGAAATTTGACCCGTTAAGCCCACAACCACATTTACTTACTGGGGCCATCTGTCCTGATTCTAGTTGGTATATAACAGTTCTAGCTGAGAGGTTATAGGCAGAGTTTGCTCATTTGGTTGGCTTTGTACTGTTGAACGTTTATCCAACAGTCTTTGGAGCCCCTCCCCCAGTGTGGCTGTCCTACTCACTGGTCCCCATAAAAATCCTCAGCAGGCTCTGTGTTTCATGACGGGTGGTGTGGCCGGCATTAGATCAAACACGTGAGAAGTAAACGTGTGATGAAGGAAAGGAGCAGGGAACCCGAGTCCCCTGGTGAAGGGCAAGGATGACCTTTCTCAGGAAATCCTCTTTCAGTTGACTCATGACATTCTAAGAAATAGGTGTTGGCCCAGAGTGGAGAGGAGGGAAAAAATTTTTATGATGAAATAAATTTGTTCAGTAATTCTGAGCCAGAAACAGGCTTATACTGCTGGTCCTGGGAACATGTGGGGACCAGATAGGGAAAGGGTGGCTATTTGCTCTTGTAATCCTCGCTGAGAAAGAAGTAGGGTCCCCTCTTACAAGGCCATTTCCCTGACAGAAGTAAACAAACACTGAAGTTATTATGCTTGCTTTAAGATCACCTGAGTAGGGAGCGGCATGGGGTTCAACTCGGTTTCATTAAAACCTGTACGTGAGCAGTAAGAAGGGAGGTAGGGAGGGCAAACTCATTGGTTCTGTAGAAGAAAGAGATAGTGAGGAGATTCTGGAGGTTTAGCCCCAATGACTTCTGGGTCCCCCAAGTCTCTTAACCTTCTTTTTAGCCTCTCTGGAACGCCTCACTCTCTTTCCCCTTTAAAAGGCTTTCCTCTGTTCCTCTTCCAAGATCTCCAGCACCCCCCACCCCATCATCCTTCCACAAGCACCACAGGTTGGGAGTTGGACCCACGATTCTACAGTATCATCCATAGGGCCCCTACTGCTCTTTGATGGAGAAATGTATCCACAGCAATTTAAGGGGAAAATCTGAGTGAAATTTTCCATGGAAACACTAGGATCCAAAATGGTTTAGGTCTGTTCTGTCTGGTTTTGGCACACTATGGGTAAACATGTTTGTGTTGTGCTAACATCATTTCCTTGGGAAAATACATTACAACTTCTGGGCAGCCCACTCCAAACATGGCTAGCCAGGGTGGGGGTGTTTTTTTTTACACTTGCCCCAAAATGATTTTTTTTTAATCTTCCTAGGAATAAATGTATTTCAGGGACATTTACCTAAGGACATAGGGATGAAGCCATCTTCCTTGGTTTTAGTTATCAATATGATACAGCCTAGAATCATCTGAGAGAAGAGTTTGAGTTAAGGAATTGCCTAGATCAAATTAGCCTGTGTCTGTGTCTGGGGGGGAGGAGGTCCTGGACACAATGATTGCTAATTGATGTAGGAGAGCCAACTCACTGGAGATGGTACCATCCCAAAGCAGGTGGTCAGAACTGCATAAGCAAGCTAATATTAGCCAGACGGCAAGCCAGCTAGTCTCCATGGTTCCTGCTGTACCGCTGGGGCTGTGTCTTAGTTAGGGTTTCTATTGCTGTGAAGAGATACCATGACCATGGCAATTCTTATAAAGGAAAAACATTTAATTGGGGTGGCTTACATTTTCAGAGGTTTAGTTCATTATCATCATGGTGCGACATAGGGGTGTACAGGCAGACCTGGTGCTGGAGAAGGAGCTGAGAGTCCTACATTGTTTTTGACTTTTAGGCATTAGAAAGTGATCTGAGACACTGGACCTGGCTTGACAGTTACATACTTCCTTCAACAAGGCCACACCTGTAATGATCTGTCCTGTCCCTTTAAGAGACAAGACCTGCCCACTTCCCCCCCCCTACTGCTGAGGCAGGCAGATCTTCCTTCTTGCTTGTCTCTTCCTTTTCCATCTCCCTCTTAAAGAGGCATCTTCTGTCTCTCCCCACTTCTCCCCTTCCTACCCTTCTGTTTCTGTCTGTCTGTCTGTCTGTCTGTCCCTCCCTCTCCCCTTTTCCCCTTCTCTTTCTCCTCTATAACCCAATAAATAAATATCCAACCTCACTCTGCATGCCGTGCCCATCCATGTCTCTTGTCTCTCATCTGTCACGTGGCTCACTGCCTGGGCCAGTTGCCTTCAGAGACCTGTGGCATGGTCCTGTGGTGTGCCCATCTGTTTCTTCTCTTGGTCAGCTGTAGCCACTTGTGGAGCTGCACTGTCCTTGTCTGGGACTGGCTGCTCTCAGGGACCCGCTGCCTGCTGCCACATGGCCCACTGCCTGCTGCTGCCTGTGAACCTGCAGCATTTCTGCCGCTGCAGCCACCAGGGATCCACAGCATTTTTTTTAATCCCTTACAACACCCACTCCAGCAAAGTCACACCTCTTAAGAGTGCCACTCCCTATGAGATTATGGGGGCCAATTACATTCAAACCACCACATTCCATTCCCTGGCTCCCATAAGCTTGTAACAATATCATGATGCAAAATGCATTTAGTCCAACTTCCAGAGTCCTATAGTCTATCAGCCTCAACAATGTTTAAAAGTTCAAAATTCAAAGTCTCTTCTAAGATTTATGCAATCTCCTCTATAAAATCAAAATAAAAAACCAGATCACATACTACCAACATATAATGGCACAGAGTATATAATACCATTCCAAAACTTAGCAAAGGGAGCACAGGGAGGAAATATTGGACCAATGTAAGCTGAAAACCAGCTGGGCAAACTCCAAACTCTGTATCTCCATGTCTGATGTAAAAATGCTTTTCAGATCTCCAACTCCCTTCAGCTTTGTTGATTGCGACACACTTCTTTATCTTGGGCAGCTCTCTTTGGCAGGTATCTGATATCTCCAACATCTTGGGGGCTCCTAGGCAATCTAGACCTTACCTTTACAGCTTCAATGACCTTTTTAGTCCTCCATTCAGGGATACCTCTGACACATGCCTGGCCTCAGTGGCTTTCTTTAGTCACAGAGGGAGATTTCAAAATGCCTTTCTTCTATCCTTGTCTCTAAAGCCAGAAGCATGTGGCCAAAGTTGCCAAGTTCTGCTGCTTACTGAGGCTTACTACCTAAGCTTGGCTGCCCTGTAACTTGCTCTGTAGACCAGGCTGGCCTCAAATTCTGAGATCCACCAGCCTCTGCCTCTGAGCCTTGGGATTAAAGGTGCACACCACCACACCCAGCTTTTAAGCTTTTCTTTAATTCCTTTCCACAAATTAGAAATTTAGCTGGGTGGGATCTTGCCCTGAGGTCACCACTCCCTTTATTCCATTTCTTAATCTGTTTATGTCCTTGAATACAGCACTTAGCTCCATTCCATTCTCGGCAGTTCCTTTTCTCCTTAGCTTGCTCCTTTTCATATAAATCTTGAGTTAACACTAATAACCACATGACAGAGTCTATACTAGGCTGTTTTGAGATTTCCTCTGCCAATGGAAGTAATCCCAAAACACTTCAATTTAGCCTCATACAGACTGTTTGAACAAGGGTAAAACAGCAGCCACATTCTTCACCAAAATATTACAAGGACAATCTCTAGTCAAAATACTAAAATTCTTCTCCTCTGAAACTTCTGAGCCAGGCCCCTACAGTTGCAATCACAATCAGTACCAGTGTCTTCCATGCTCCTACTAGGATGAGCCATTAAGCAGCACTGTGAGTGTTCAACTGCTTTTCTAATCCACAGTCCCAAGGTCCATATTCCTTCAAACAAAAGCATGGTCAGGCCTGTCACAGCAATACCCCACTCCCAGTACCAACTTCTGTCTTCCTTAGGGTTTCTATGCTGGGAAGAAACACCATGGCAACTCTTATAAAGGAAAAAAACATTTAATTGGACTGGCTTATGGTTTCAGAGGTTTAGTCCATTGTCATCATGGTGTGACATGGTGGCATGCAGGCAGACATAACTGAGCGTCCTACATCTTGACTCGCAGGCAACAGAAGTGGTCTGAGACACTGAGTGTGGCTGGAGAATAAATGAAATCTCAAAGCCCGCCTCTACAAGGACACACTTCCTCCAACAAGGCCAAACTTCCTAATAGTGCCACTTCTTATGAG